GAGATGGAGATGGTGTTTGAGAGCTGCAGCTGTAACGAGAAACAGAAGACTGTCTTCGCAGTAAGACAGCTGAAAACTGGAGTCTTGAGCTGGTGGAAGCTATTGGCATATACGATGCCACGAGGAGAAGCCTTAAAGATGTCGTGGGAAGGGTTTTTGGAACAGTTGAAAATGCAATACTGCTCGGAGATAGATCTGATAGACCTAAATAATGAGTTTCAGAACCTGAAGAAAGGGAAGATGAGTGTTGATGAGTATACCACCGCATTCACCGAAAGGATGAAGCTATTCCCCTACTTGGTGCCTATTGAACTCTCCAAGATTGATAGGTTTGCTAACGGACTGCCCACTGACTTTGGCCCAATGGTCAAAATGCCAACTACTTTGAAAGTAGCTATTAGGGCAGCTAAGAACGTAGAGGCCCAGATAAGAGAAAAGGGTCTAGAAAAAGATAAGGTAGGAGAGAAGCGGAAGTTTGAAGGATCTTCGAGGCCGAACAGGGAAAGCAAATTCTCAAAGCTTGGAGGAGCAGATGGAGGTGAAGCAAGATGGTGTGATAGATGCAAGAAGAAACATGGTGGAAAGTGCAACGAAGAAGTGACTTGTTACAAGTGTGGGAGGACTGGTCACTATTCCAAAGACTGCACACATAATGACAAAGTATGCTACGGATGTGGAGGCAAGGGGCACATGTCCAGAGACTGCCCAAGGAAAAATAAAGCAGCAAGACCAGAAACGCCACCAAGGCCGAGGGCATTTCACATGATCCTTGACGAGGCAGAGAACCATGCAAGGAATCAAGAATGAGGACTTCTTACCCGAAGATCGGATTATGCAGTAGCCATAGTTTCGTATGATGTAGCCTAGTAGAGGAATAGTCTAGGGTAAACTTGAACACCTATGTAATAGTTTTGAGAAATAATAAAATCTTCGTTTTGTTATCTGATGTGTGAAATTGTTGTGTGATTTGCTGCATGGTGACTTGGGAAACTGCGAGACAATACTTGGAACGAGTATGAGTAGGTGTGAAAGGTAGTAGAGGCCTATACTACCGGAAGCACAGGACTCACACTTGGATCAGGGAAAGTCACAAGGTTACCAAGAAGCCAGTAATTGATGTCGTTTTATTCAAGTATGTCGTTACCATCGTTTCGGTAATGACTAAAAAGATTGTTGATATTCCGACCCTAGTGGTCATATCAAATTGAGTCCGACTACGATGAGTATGTTACGTGGTTCAGAGAACCAAGTTCGATGTAGCATCCGATTTAAACCAAACAATTGAAATCAAAGCGATCAATAGAAGTATCGCGCTCGTTGTTAAAGAAGTTGGTAGCTAGAAATGCTACATGTTAAAGTGTGATTATGTCACATTAGAACATGAAAGAAGGCATAATCTGTTTTAGAATTTAACTCTAAGAGACCTGAGTCTAAACGTGAAACACATGATGATACGTCCTAATCTGGAGTCTAACCTGAAGAAGATAGCAGGTGCACAATTAAGTACTTCTTACAGACAATAAGTCTAAAAGATAGACTTGAAGGATTATAGAAGTTACAATTATTACTTAGGATGAAGAGATAACGTATGGAATCATTATACTATCCTGTTTCGTTGATGATTCCGGGACGTAATCATCTTAAGGGGGAGATAATTGTAACGCCCGCAGGTCCGGGCTAGTCAATTTAGAGACAATAGGGGTCGAAAATGACTTTTCGACAAAAGATTATTTAGAATAAATAATCTTAACCAAGTTGTAGAATATGTCTCAAGGTTTCCGTACATATAAAGAATGCCGAAATCCGAGCTATAACGAAGAAGTTATGGCCCGTCGAAGTTTTATGGCAAAACCGGCATGGCACCGGGAAGCGTAAATAGTGAATTTACGATAGAGCGAGATTTAGCCTTAGCAATCTAAAAAAAAGTTGTAGAAAATGTTAAACTAAGAGCGTCGATAAAAAGAACGCCCAAATCTGACTTCGTATGAGGAAGTTATGATTTTTCTAAGATTCGGCTTAGCAGTGTACAGTCCGAAACTCGAATTTTAGTTCGAGCGGTTTTTGGCTTACGCAACCTAAATGAGAGTTGAATATCTCATTAATAGGAACTCAACGGTAAAAAGATAGACGAAAACGGAGTTCGTATGAAGGAGTTATGAATTCTTCGCGGTCATTTAATAGTCTAAACGCCTCCTACTATTAAATTTGAGATCGGTTGAGAATTAGCCGACGGAGTCTAAATGAAAGTTGTAGATCTTGATTTTACCTACGCGTGGATATAAAGAACGTCGAAAACGGAACTCGTATGCGAAAGTTATGATTTTTCTAAGTTCGAAGGCTGATACGCGATATGGGGTGACGTGGCACCACCAGAATTGGACACGTGGCACCACCAGAAGGCCACCACATGGACCAACTCGGCGAGTAGGTCCCCCCTACTCGGCGAGTAGACCAGTCAGCACCCCTATAAATAGAGGTGCCGGGTTCCATTCATTCTCACACCTTCAACCTTCTTCTTTCTCTCTCTATACTCTCTCTCTAAGCTCCCTTAAGCCCCTAAAAGCCTAGGTAAACCCCCCAGCACCCGAAGGAAGCCCCGAGGCTCCCGGAGTCCCGAGAAAGAGCCTTTCGGCTCGGGAACGCTGCTCCAACGAAGCCCGGAACTGCATCGGACCGAAGTCCGGAACTGACTAGGACCTTGTCCCCTACATCGGACCGAAGTCCGGAACTAACTACATCGGACCGAAGTCCGGAACTGACTGCATCGGACCGAAGTCCGGAACTAACTGCATCGGACCGAAGTCCGGAACTAACTGCATCGGATCGAAGTCCGGAACCGACTGGGACCTTGTCCCCTGCATCGGACCGAAGTCCGGAACTGTCTGTCTGAACATCGCATAGCATAACACATCATCTAGCATGAACACATATACTGCATACTACATCGGTCCGTAGCCCGGAACACATAACACTTAACACATAAGACATGGCACACAAATCCTGTCCGAGCCACGAAGGCGTCAAACATACTAGCTACTGCATCAGACCTAAATCCGGAAACTACTGCTAACTAAACGGGCCGGTATTGTGGCCTTAGACCCGTCCCTACTGGAAGGAAACTCACCTCGTAAGTTGGCTGCTGAGTGTGTGGCTCGGGAAGCTAACGGCTGCTGCTCCTGAATCTCCTCGGCTACAAGTCCATAAACACACTCAATCAAATACTAAACACTGCGCTTGGGGTAAAATGACTCTTTTACCCTTGGTCAAAGTCAACTCTCTTTTGGGCTGACTCGCCGAGTTCTACTCTCACTTCTCAGTTCTACTCGCTGCTACTCGTCGAGTGTGGCATCGACTCGACAAGTACCCTCTTGATCCAAGAACTCAGACAATCTTCATCCGACTCACCGAGCCGTATGAACAAACTCGACGAGTTGTTCTTGATCTTAAGAAGATTGCCTTGGACTCGCCGAGTTGTATGAACAACTCGCCGAGTCCCTCCATCACTGAGTCTACCCTCAACTCGCTGAGTCCACTCTCTAACTCACTGGATCCACTCGACACTAGTAAAAATGAAGGAATCGGGAACTCGCGACCCAAGTCGCCGAGTCGTTCTTCCCGACTCGCCGAGTTGCCGCCATGCAACTGATTTTTACTCGATTTTGTTTGAATCCAACACATGCAATTGATAGATCTGAGTCCAATAAGCTGATTTACCACGTAAAGTTTCCAACTTTACGTGTACAACCTCATGAATAAGGGAAATAAGGTTAAAAGATGCACAAAATGGGTAGATCTATGGTTAATATGC